GCTCGATACCGGTTATGTAGCAGTTTTTGTTTTCTTTATTGTCATTCTCTGTAGTCTGTACCAAAATGGATAATAATTATTTATATGATCGAAAGTATGGCAAAATGTTCGCGCGGGAACCTGAAAATGAAAGGTACGCGAGTGATCGCAGACCACGTGGAAACCACCCCAAACACCTGCCTACTATCGGTGCATTAATATAGGGGATTCAGCTCGGTGCATAATGCAACGGTGATTATATACTAGTGATGGAGACAAGTTCAATACGTATTCATCGATATCAGATCAATTCCACCCAAAAGGATTATGTTCTTAGAACACGGATAACAAAACATTGTTCAGTAATATTCTTAACAATAAAATATTAAATTTATATTAAATAAAAAAATATGTGAAGAACTTTGCGAAATCTCTTACTGAAGTTATTTGTTTTTAATTGAAGACACTAAATCATAGACATTTATTGATAGCACAGTGAATATAATTAATTTTATAATATTGAACATTGTTTCAAGACAGTGAATGTGTGTGCACATTCATAAGAATGAAAAGCAGAATTTTACTTGTCCCCAAGAATATATCAGTTAAACATAAGAACAAAACTTTTTAAACTTAAATCTACAATTACCTATATTATTATAAATTTTAATTCATGAAGTTTCACATTCAAAAACTAAAATGAATTTTTTGTACAAAATATTTTCTAACGAAAATATATCACCATAAAAATAAAAACAGATTTTAAACTATAATCCACATTTGTATTAATACGGTAACCCGCAATCACCGTTTAAAACTCATTCAGCTTGATAGTTTCATTCTTCCATAACGAAAAACGCTACATTTTTCTCTATGTACTTATATTTATCGCAAAGTACGTACGGTCTTAATTAGTTCGCAGATAGGTAAGCATATTTCAAAATAAAGAATGTTTTATAATCATGAAACTTCTAACACTTTATTTGTCATACAATTACATCGATTTTACGACATTAAGAAACAAGTTCATATAAAATTCGAATATGTATGTAAAATTACATACATTTTTAATTACATAGGTTGTACGCAATACTGATATCAGTCTACGAATTCAAAAAAATTCTGTGGTGTTCCAACTGCACTTTTAAATGTTACTATTTAATCATCAACATACATGTATAACACTGCAACTGATTTTATCATGTTTTAGCGTTGCTTACGATGGACTTGATCCCATCGCTACTGATTACGGATCGGCGTGCTTATGGCGGAGCACGGTGGCGCCGAGATTGCAGCAGGAAATTGAAATCAGATAACAGGCTTCCATCGAAACTGTGCCTTCTTTAGGGGGGTATTTGCATATGGATATTTGGATATGAAAATTTGATTGCCGAATTTTACGCGTTTAGCCCCGAGAGGTACCTACTACTTTTTTCCTACTCTACTTTTTTCTCCTTTCAGTAGCGTGCTCGATTGCAATAATGATTATCCAATTTATTGAAAAATTCAACTCTTTGACGATGCCTCTACGATGAATAATTTTTCTTTACTATACTGTAAATCCCTAATTTAATCCTATAATTACAAGATACATTTATTTATTATTGAATAAAAATAGTTTAGATTAAGTCAGGTTTGTTGAATGTAATGCTTATAAATATTTTATTACCATCACTTCATTTAGGACAATTATCATGTTCGTTTTGTTTTAATATTAAGAATATTTTATAATTCTTTGAAATACTTTAATTAAATCGCAATATATACGTCGCCTTTCTTTTGAAAAGTAAAATGAGGTAGTCTACAGTGATATATGTGTTACTGCATTTTATTTTAACTGTTTACTTATTTTTGTGAATTTCCTTGTATACTGCAACGCATAACTATGATATAAGTCGAAACCAAAACTGACATGAATTATTGTAATGTTTGTTTTTTACACTGGGTAGTTGAAAGAAAGGCCGCCAGTATATTAAAAGTACGTCAACCAGAAGAAGATCCTAGGAAAATCATCGATCAGTTTCGGTACGTCGTAAAGCAGTTTGTGGCCTATCGATTCACAGTTAGTAAACTAATGAAATTAGATTTATAGATGCATAAAATCCGACCGTTGTCAGTTTTCAGAGGACCTACGCTGTCCCGAACGATCACCAAAATTCAAGACATAAGTCAGGCATAAATTTTTAGTTCCGACGTCGCTAATGGAAATCATAACTATTATCGATATAATCGCCTTTTCAGTCATTCATTAGTTCATTAGGAAAATTGAATTTTTTTATTTCGCCCGTAATAGACAATAAAACGTGGAAATCTCCGAAATCTCAGACAATCGCTGTAGGTTTCACTTGGAGAATAAAATGCATTTATATCTTTATGGTTGTGATTTTATGGTTTCACGCTGAAACGCCAATATCAATATTTAGATTGTGATGAATCCACGGTTTTAGAATTCTAGAATAGAGTACAGTAGTAGAGATAAAGAAAAGTGCTTCGAGAATGATTTTATGAAACTCGAAAAAAACTTTGGGGCTTTACGAGCTTATAAAATGAAATTCCTTTGTAGTTTACGCAGTTAATTCTTTTCTTAGACAACGTAACCAAAAACCTGGCGGTATAAACGGTGTAAATCATTGTATTTTAATTAAACATGTATGCAAGTAATTTGTATTTATTAGAATTCAATTTCAATCGAAAATTCTGTTTACTGAATATGTTTCATCTAGAGACAACAGATAACGCATTACTTTGACGATTCCACTTTAGTGTTTGTTTCTAATCCACAATTGAAATTATTTGTCAGATTATCACTGGAGACATTTGTTCGTATACAAAATAAGATTATAAATCATTTGATACCAAATTAAATAACGAAATAAATTAGAAAAAAGTAAATTAATCGATCAACGAGCAAATATTTGAAGAATTCAAATAACGTGCACACAAGTACTTGAAAATAACTATGAATCAAATAAGGTAATATTTTAATTAAATAATCACTTTTTAAATATTTTATGCCAGTAATGCACAATCCAATTGAAAACTACAGCTGTTCCATGCGTAACATCACATGATGTTGCATATTTAAACTGTTATAAATACGTGCATAAACATTCGCAGTTTACTGAGCATTTTTAAAATTAACAAATTCACTGTCATGTTTGTCACCGAATACCGGTACTATTCATTTATATGAAAAAGAATACAATTTTCCAAAAAGTAACATGTACAATCTTGTAACTACGTAAACAGTTGGTTACGATTGTTTGTGTTTCCAAAATGGACTCAGATCGTTTTCCTTTATCGAAAATTTGACTTTAGGGAATAAATAGGAATCAGAGCTCGATCCGGTGAATAGGGTGGATTCCGTTGTACAAAGAAGCAATGAAACGATTGCTCAAAAGTATCCAAGTATGTATATATAACAGAATTTGTTCCGAAGCGAACAGTGGATTTTTCTGCACAACGACGTATCGACATACATTTGGCAACAGTGATCCAATTTTTGGTTAAAAAAAAACAGGTGACAATACTCTTGCTTATTCGCCGAATTTTGTTCCAGCAGACTCCTATTTATTCCAAAAGTCAAATTTCTGATAAAGAAAAAACGATATGAGTCCATTTTGAAAATTCAAAGAACCCTAACGAGCTGTTTAATAGCCATTCTGAAAAATGATTTCCCTTGGACCTTCGAAGGAATTCGGGAATGCTACAATCTGTGTATTCAACGGAGAAGCGTTTATGTAGAAAATTAAATTTAAAAATTTGTTTATGTACAAAATTTATATGTTTATTGAATTATTTCGGGAACTTTCCGGAAAACCAAGTAGGGGAAAGGTGTTCAAATGATCCCTTTAAGGCATAATTGATATAAAAAATACAAATGCTCATTCTTTAAATAAAAATAAAGTAGTTTTTGTAAGTTAGTCTATCTATCTTATCATTGGCTCAAATAAAATTTAGCTACGTGATCAATTATATTTTCTAATCATATTTCTTTGAAGGCATACTTAAGGAGCATTTTGTAATGTATGTCTATAAAATGATCCCCGGGGATCATTTTATACCTACTGATAGTAAATACGACGAACATTAAAAAGCATTTCATTTATTACATTTTATTTAAATAAAAACAGCTTTGACGCGTTGTTTTTCTTTCATACTGACGGGACATTGTTGTAACTAAAACAAAAAACAATAATATAGCATATGGGTAAAATGATTCCTGGGATCATTTTATCTCAGGAATCATTTTATCCTATTAGAGAGGGATCATATGACCCCAAATACCCAACTCACATTCAGTGCTTGAATATAACATCAACATATTACATGCGGTAACGAAACATTAATTAAGTTATTATTGAATTGTTAAATCCGCGCAAGAATCAGCTGTCACATTAAACCGTTTATGACAAAAATTACACAACATTGAAAGAGACCTTATCTTGGATAAATTGCAGTAATTTTAAATTTTTCTTGTGGACAACACACAGAGTACTAATATTCACATGGCACTTCGAGCAACGGCTAGTGACGTGCGAGAAGAATTATTATAAAACGACATTACGATATACCACCACTAATAACCACAGGGCAGCCAGTAATCATTTTACCCCGAGGGATCGTTTTAAACACCTTTCCTTTACATTCCTAAATTCTTGAACTCCTTTGATCAAAACACTGTATGTTATCAGACAACACTGCTCAGTTTAGAAATCCTGCAGACCTTATTTCCATGCCGATTCGATCACCAGAGACAATTGATCGCAAGTTTTCTTGGATATCGAAATTGAAAGATTACGTCACACGTCACAGGAAGTTACGAGGCCGACAAGTTTGCGTCCTCAAGAGTCCCGTCGCCTTGTCCGTTCCAACAGATCGCTACGGTTCATCTGATAAACGAGCTCCAATTAAGTTACTCGCACTCCTGCGCGGATCTCGCGGAATTTCGCTTTATGGCGCTGCTTGACTCTATTTACGACTATTCTTCGGTATCGGACGTTTCACTTGTTCGACGAAGAACGCGAAGATAACGTGTCTCACGGTGCTCGTTTCGTCCGATCCGATCTGGCACAGCTTCTACTGGGAATACTCGGTCTATTTCTACAGAAGTTTACGTCATTACTAGAGCGACGATTTAGGTGAAGTTACAAAATCATTTAGAAGATACCGGTTCTAACGTGACCGTGCCTCGGGGTATTAACAATAAAATCTGCGTAAACCGATTTCCATAAAATAGTATTTTATTCAGTGATAAGGACCAGTTGTATCGCAATTGTCAATCAGTGGTTTATTAATGGACACCTTTTTTTATAGACGTTAGGGGATAAAGTTTCACTTTGTTGCTGAAGATACCGGTTTAACCAGGTAGGGTTTATTTTAGATAAAAAAATATCATAAAATATTATTTCTTTAAAAGACTGTTTGAAATTACAGTGGGCAATAGAAGTCTTTATATTGTAATTGAATTCAACTAAATCGTGTAATTACTAGACTGTAAATGTTTATGCTAATTTTAAATTGTTATGTGGTCTCAGAAATGAGAAATATGTAGAATTTGTTATTGTTTTCTAATATCGACTTTATTTGGATGAAGAAATGTCCTTATTCTACTACGTTTTATATGCACAAATATGTGATGATATTTGCATGAAAAGTATGTTAGGAACGTTCACTGTAACTTTTAAATAATATTATTGGACGAATGAAAGGAAAACACGTGCGAATAATATTAACGAATTTGCAAGTCGTGAACAAATATATAAATATTCTGAACATTTAGCATAAATAAGATGCTAATTGCTTATTTAATACTTGATAACAAATTTTAAATCTTTCACTTTCTTTAATTAGAAGCGTTTATGGCGAGTTTAAATATGTAGTACTGAATTAAAGAACAAACTGAAATATTGAGTTTAAATGCAAGAAAAATTGTTTTTTTCTAAATAATTACATATATGTTAATTAACTTCCAATGATTATTTTTTGATTAATCTAAGGTCATTCTTTTTTTATTGCATTTTAAATTAAAAATTCTTCATTTTCAAATTAAAGTTTTGCAGTGTAAAATCTTTTGTTGTTTCCTTGATTATATGATTCGTTACTTTGATCAAAAAAGAGGATGTGAAAATACTTAATTGGACTTTAATGGTATCCCTTACTCTGTTAAATTAAAGAATTATCTATACTTTCTATCCCGTGATTATAACAATGTAAGTTAAGTGTTTAATCAGAAACATTTTAGCTTATTAATTCAGTAAGAGTATTTTGTCATTTATCCGACTTAGAAGTTTCATTTCACATTTCATGTTTCCGAACAAATACCTAACTGACTTTTAACGTTACTTTTTTATACGAATAGTATGCAGATTACCCACATCAAGACGACATTCAGTTCTTCTACGTGTCTAGATTCATCGCTTGTACCTTTCCGCCACGCAAGAAATAGCAAAACGTTTTAAAACATACCTTCTCTACACCTTAAAAACACGGTAATTGGTTTTTACTCTTGTAATTGGCCTCTTAACAAATTGTACCTCATCTTATCGGCCATATCCTCCTTCCCATCCGTCATTGGTATCTTTTTATAATCAATTTTCTGCCAGCAGCAAGAAATATAACCGCATCAAGATAAATCCGACCGGTAGGGAACGTATTATTCCTAAGATCGCTAATCGAAGACACTGAAGAAAGGTTCGATGACTTACAAATTGCTTCTTTAAAAAAAAGCTATAATTATATTGGTTCTGTTTAACGAAAGAAATATTTACAATTTACCCGAGAATATTGTAGATTATAAGAATCGTGTAACGAAGAAAAGAAATGGGAATTTGTAAACTCGTTGTCAATTCTAAAAGAGTACTTATTTGAGATACGCGAAATTAAGTAATTTCTAACCTATACTGACAAATTAAAAGTAAATGAGCGATAATCTATAGCTTATAGGTATATTTCTTTTCTTTAAGAATCGTGCCAAAAGATCGACGGCTAATGAAGAAATCAAATTTCTGGAGCCCTTTCTTTTTACTAACACTATCATATAATTCTGTCTGAATTTTTGATTCTTATTTTAATGCGAGCTGAAATTCTAAATAAATTAGTGGATTTGTCTTTAACTAATCACTATTTCGAAAAATCCTTCGTTCTTCCATTACATAAATCTTACTGAATTTTTAATTTCAGATGAACCGTTACGAAGTTACAGTGATCACGGAGACCACTTTTTGTGAAGAGACATCCGGGAGATCGCTCACCAAAAGTCCATCGTATACGGTATACGTGGCCTTATAATTTCGTACACAAGTTGACGTCACAAAAATAGCCGTTATGTCACTTCAGTCTAATATTACAAGAAACCAAAACACTCTCTATTTTTTATTAAGTTTGAACATTGGAATTTTTGTCAGTTTTCGAAGTCAAATACTCTATAAAAGTCTGCGAAAATTCTTTCCCTGCTTCAGGGGTTAAGACTAAAAATATGCAAACACAATATGTATATAAACAAAGCTGACTGAAACAGGCGCTTGTAACAAATTTACCAATAATTTTCAACGAATTCATTTCTAAAGGAAGGAATAATATAACTGTATTGTACTGTTACCGAACAAATTCGCGGAACGGACCCTAACACGAAGTGGTACAATAACAATATGAAACATACAACGTCGAGTGTGAATTGACATTGGACCGTAAAGGGCTCAATAGTGCTTACGGCATGTTTAATGTCATCCCTTGTTTCATTACTATTGAATAAGCATAGGACAACTCGTGTTGCTAACAGTTTCGCAATGAGTAGCGTAAATATTATCATCGCGCTCGGACGGATGATACGGTTCGCGCGTCGTTTGTCCGTATCCCTGGAGCCGTGTCCAACGTTATCTCTGGATAGCGTATCCTTCGATCGTTGTATCGCGATGAAAACGGCCGCGACCAGGATCGAGGATAAACGATGCAGTCGAATCTTGAACGCGATAACGGTTGCCAGTTTGTGGCGTGGTCGTGAACGCTGGTCGTCGTGTGATTTGTGGTTGTGCAAGAGAGAATCGGGAGGATCTCTGCACTTGTGCTAGAGCCGCGGACGATCGGTATCCACGCGAGAACACGCGACGGTACGTGTTAAACGATCGCGTTAACGGCCCCAGCGATTCCTCCGAGGCGCGAGCCTGCTGTTGACTGATACGTGATTCAGAATTTGGCGGTGGTTGGGAAATTTAGGATCCAGTTTAACCCGTAACTACAGACCAGTCGTCTCAGACAAGAATTTGAATTTTTCTTTGAGTATCACAACCTAGCGGAGAATTTTGGAAGCTCTAACGTTTGAATATCATCAATTGGCAGTAATTGGCACACTGTTGCCAAAACGTTAACGACAAATAACATTCAATTGGTCATTACAAGTGTTACTGTCTGTAGTTAAGGGTAAAGTAGAATTATTTGAATTGTTCTCAACGAGGCAGCATTTAATCTTTTTGCATTTGGATAGTGTAGTCCCTGTCTACAGATGTCTATCCTTCGTTGCATTCAATGCAAAGTCCGTGTGCGGATACTTTTGTGTTTTGTTATATTTCTTTTAATCGACTGAAATTATGTTCATACGAGTGTTTTTTTAATGGTGGAATGAGAAAATGTACTTTTGTTATAACATGTAGAGTCTATAGGAAAGTGTTAAATATAATTTCTCCGGAACGCTAGCCTGCTATGGGCTGATTTGTGATTTGTATTTGGTACACTGTAGTCCATGTTCATATCTTAGGTTGAGCTATAAATGACTTCTGTCTTCCTGTTTTATATTTATATTCGTCGAATATATTTTGCAATTAATATTATGCAACCTGTTCTCAATCATTTTTAATCAGTTTAAATAGTTTTATTATCGTTGTTATTTAATTAGTATTTAGTAATGTTTTACTGCCTGTAGTGAATGTTACTTATGACAGAACCCAATACTTTTGTGCTTTTTATACATGATGTAAAGTTTTTTATTCCTTGGTAATTATTATTGTATACTTTTGTTTTAACTATTAAATAAGAAAATATACTTTTGTTATGATACGTTGGGTGTAGAAGAATTTTAAATTTGTGAGCCACTTTAAAAAAAAATATTAAAAAAAGTATACCAGATCTTAACGTATCAAATACATTTTGAATCATAAAAGCTATCGAGTGCAACTTTTTCGAATTTTAGGGAAACTTTTATATTTAAAAATAAGATATAATATAATGTTTTTATTTTATTTTTTTTTAACAATCTTTTCTGATTTATACAATCATAAAATATTTATATTGCATCAGTATTTTCTGTTAGAAAGACTGATTACAGAATTAATTATTGATGTTAATTCCCAAACAGACAAATATAGAGGAAATACCTTTCCTATACACTGTTAAATATTTATACAAAAATAATTGTTGGTCAGAAGGATATAAACAAAACAAGACTTCCAACATAAAATTAATCTTTATAAAGCTATTCCGCATAATAGTTCATTAATATAACTAAATATAGGTCACCGGTGATCCACCTTTTAAATCTATCTTTTCATTCTAGAATCATATTTATACATTTAGGTGCATATGTGTTATTGTTAAATACCTTCATTGGTAGAACCTAACCTATAAACTACAACAAACAATATCAATATTGCATTGCATAACATATCTCTCATGAATCACGAGTTCATAGACTGACGCAATCTAATTTACGACAATCTTGAATCATTTAGACAATTAGGACTGTCATCGAGAAATGACTACCCAAAAGCGACACCAGGATGAACAAAAGAAATTGATTGTTTCTGCCTATTAAAATGGATTACCTGCTTTAAATGACAGCACTGTTGGTATTCGAATTGACAGCTGTCAATCAGTCTCGATTAGATGCACGGAACATATGATAATTATGTGAGAGGAACAAAGAGACAGAGAAACGTTCATCTGTGTTTACAAACCTTTTTAGTCTTCGAGGCGTGGACCACGAGGGGATTTATTATTTTATACCCAATATAAAAAGCGATGGAAGCAACAGTGCACAGTGTAGAATTGTATGTCCATTGTTTCGGTTCACTTTTAACACGGCACGAGCGATTTGAATTCGTAACACTAGGAAAACGCCGGGGAAACGAGAACACTCTATATGACCACTTTGCCATGGACGCCATGTTTGACACAGATATGTGACGCACGCATGCGCCTTGGCACTGCTGTCAGATTCCATGCGCACGATACCTACCAGTGTCGGGCAAAATTCAATTTTATTAATGGTTACAGTTATTTATTATAATCTGATTCCTGGACTGCGGATATTTATGCAGATATAGTTTCTTGTACACTAACGCATAGGAACTGAAATCAAATGGAAGGGACAATAGTAGACGTTGGCGAATTTTGGACTTTGCTATCAACGTAAAATATTTAATTTAAAAAAATCATAAATTAAAAACCTGTAGATTAATAATCTAATAATGTTCAATCAGACTCCAAATATTAAATATTTTTATATACTAAGTTTTACGCAATTGATTTGACAATATACATACTAATTAGTAACGGTCAGCATCCTTTCTTCGGGGAAAAATAGGGGCCCATCATAGATGTGGTGTGCTGAATCCGTTTTTGCAATTAGACGTTTCTTGTTATGTACAGTTTTTTTAGGATGACCTTTGATCATTTAAATGAAAATGTATGTTGTTTTATAGTAAAATTGTAGCATATTTTTTGTGAATACAATTATCATAGATTGGTATGAATAACATCTAACAGTTTATAGAAAAGATAACATTGTGAATGAAAAAGCATACGAGTATGCACGTACGTACATATAGGGTAAAGTAGCCTAATATGAGACCCCAGCCTATCTCCGTTACAGAGAAGTCTTGAACGCTGCAGCGGCAGTCTTTTCTTTCGGAACTAACCGCAGTTCATTTGCGTAGTGTCTCGGCCAAGCATATTCGTGAAACACATTCCAAAAAGTTTTTCATGTAATACAATTAAATTACGAATATATCCAAAATGGTAAGTATATAATCACTTGCATAAATACTATTGTATAGTGGATGCAATGCAGTTTACGGCTTAGTAGTTGTATATTATTAAATAATGGAGAGTTTAGCTCGAAAATACTTAATAGGTATCATGTTAATGTTTGCGAATTATGGGACCATTGGAAGTTCCTACTATGAGACAGGTCTCATATTACTTTGTTTTAGGTGGATTCTGTTAAAAAACGTAAAAAGTGATAGTTCTACTGATGAGTGTGAAGAAGACATTGTTCTGAATGATGAAAGTGGTGACGAAGAAAATTATGGTGCAGAATGCTTGTTTTGTACAGTACTTTATTCTTCAGATGTACATGGTAAACAATGGGTTGAGTGTATCAAATGTTACCGGTGGGCCCATGAAGACTGCGCTCCAGACGCAATTACTTTTATTTGCCCAATGTGTGAAAGAAGACAGAAAAAATAAGTTTTGCCAAGACGATACCTGGGTCTCATATTAGCCGACCAGTTCTTGAATTCATGTTTTTGCATACTTTTTATTTTTATTTTATTATGATGGAACTCTATCTGTCTTGTTATAATTTCTAATATGTTGTAAAAGTGTACACATCTTACATTTAAAACGTGTATCGTATTTCAATAAAAGTACTTTTAATCGAGAATTATGCGAGCTTAAAGAAATGGGTCTCATATTCGGCTACTTTACTCTATGTGTATAAGTATTCTAACAATAATAACGAAAAACGTCGACCATACGCATACAGTAAATATTCGTTAGTTTCTAATTGCTGAACTGCAGACTTCATGCATCTATATAATATCCGATCGTCCGAAATTCAATACAGTAAAAACTTTAATGAAACCTATTCAGATCATTGTACTTTTCACCGTACTGGAACCCTTAATAGGATTACTTAGATTTATATCGGATTTCAGTTTCTATAACTTAAACAATAAAATTCTATTATCTGAAAAAAACTGAATTATAAATACAATTTCATATGCATCGTAGATATATATATAGTAACATTGGTTTCCTTTAGAACACTGAATCGTCGAAGACAGTTCAATGATCGTCACTAAGCAGAAATAGGGGAGACCGTCGTCGTAGAAGAGCGTGAAATTTATACGACGGAAATAGCGTTGCACATGAAGGAAAGACAGTGGTCTCGAAGGGCGTTATGTAATGAAACGGTGCCATCTTCACCCACGATATGCTGTGACGTAACGCTGAAAGAGTTCCGTTCAAGCGGTGCAAGTGCTAAAATTATGCGGGCTAATGTACGCGCCGGAGTTACTCCTGCTACTGGTTACCCCAGTAGCAACGTTTGACGTTTATTAGCCGAGGCTACCTGCTTTCTTCATCTTGGTTCCATTATTTATAAATGCACCCCGCTGCTCGAACAACCGGTCAGCACAATCTTCCGTGGATAAATCTTCTTCTTCATCCCGGTTGAAAGTACATACACGGGGCGACTCATAATTATTCGAATGGTGGAGAATTTCAACATAACATTCGAATCGCGCGGATGAGGTGAATTGAGTTACTTCGGTTAGTAACATTTCTCTCGAACGATGAATTATCTGCCACCATCGGGTGAATACAAAATGTACGCTTTGTTAAGAACGATCTAGAGATTCTTGCTTACACGGTTTTATATGGACTGTAATTAAATTGCTTGCCGAGTAGTCGATAGTGGATGATTATACGAATTTCCATTTTCATAAGCTATTTTATGAACACCGGGTAAGGAAAAGAAATGTGACAACGAGAATATTCATTAAGCTTTCATTTCATTGTGGTTTTCAAGCTTGATGGTGCAACAAATGTATATAATTCGTAGTGTACTCATCACTTATATGGAAACAAATGAGATTTTATAGATCGACTTGCAAGTATCGTGAGACATTTAAAATAGTCATGTTTATTTGACCAAATTGCCTACAAAATTGCAAAGTTGACTTTAATGTTAAAAACATTTGCTGAAGAAGGACAGTAAAATTAAAAATAGAAAAGAAAAGAACATCGAATATATATGAGGGATTGTTTGAGTTACTGCATATTATGTATAATTATTTAAATAGAGGCGTATTTCAATGCATGTGAATATTATTAGAACCAACTACATAATGAACAGAAAGTAGCAGAAATAGCTACTACTGTAGCTACGGTGAAACACGTCTTGAAAATTCTCTTTACTCAGTTATGTATTTTAGTCAATCTTACCTCATAAAAAAAATCGCGTTAAACATTTTTGTGGAAACTGCACGTTGAAACAGATTAACAGAAAACCAATTGTTTCCAAATTCAAAGTCTTTATCGAGTAGGTTATTTCTATAAAATATACAAGGTGGTCCACGCAACTTGTTCACCCTGAATAACTTCTAACGTATACATTTTACGAAAAAAATTTTGCTGCAGAAACAATTCAAAGTGCAGTTTCCTAGTTGATTAATAGATTACATCAGTGTATTAATGCGAATGGACACCATTTCGAACACCTACGTTAGTGAATGGAAGAAGTCTTACGGAAACCTTTGCTGGTGTTGAATCTCCAACTTGATATTATGCACAAACCATTTTTAAGAAACAAAGTCAAAACTTTTTTACTGAAAGTTTTACTCTCTTCGATTTTTTGGCATAAAAAATATAGCGTTCCATTTAAAAAAACGAAGTTGACCTTCAAATCTCCGAAACGCTTCCACTTACAAAAAAACTATATACATTACATAATGTATCCCTCCAAACCATGCAACTCTCCATAAAAAATGTTACTCAAGGTGAACAAGTTGCGTGGACCACCCTGTATATTCCAACTTCACGTAAACTGCTTACCAATCACGATCAAATTGAATGGTTTTAATTGAACGGATCTTTTAATGTTATTTCGATAAAGAAGAGCAAGCTCCCCTAAGATTTTGCATGAAATGGACATTTTCTATTTTCAACTATAGGTAAATGGTAGTCCTTTAATATTTCATTGTAAATAAAGCCTTTAAATCAAATTTCAAGTTTTATTTTCCCTCTCGATCCTTTTAAAGTAACATTCAACACAATCTAGTTCACTGTTTTTGTTTCTAAGTGAAGTAAAGCTATCTAAAGGCTTTTATTTATTGTTAATTATGCTTTGAACACTGATCACCATCATTCTAAAAGAAGAAATAAGTAAAAGTTATTTTGGGGAACGTTTCACGAGATTTTTGCCCATGGGCGCCGTGTTATATGGTGAAATTATAAATGACTTTAATTTTCAATTTTCATCATCGTGTTTCTCTTATTTTCTTACATTGCGCGCACCTTTAACACGCCTCCTTTAAACGGTCGTGTCAGGAATTAATATTGGTTATATCAATGTTATTTATATGCCGGTGGTAACGCGATAATATATCATGTGTAGTTGAGAAGAATTTATAATAATACAGCAGCATTGGCCTCGACCACACCAAGGAGATTGCGAATTCAGACCACGTGTTCGTAATTTGTTTTGACTGATTGATAAAATGTCTTTTTACACCGGCAAGAGTGTCTTGTCATTATTTAGAAATAATTTCACAACAATAAATTAATACCATTTAAAGAATAATGTATGCAAGACTAAAAATAATTAATCTTTCATTCACTATTATAAATATCCATTCATTAACAGGTAATCAAAGAAAAAGACATTTGTAGAATGTTTACTACTTTTTCGATTAGATGATGACGAAGCTTACACGGGAATGTATTTTTAGTTACATTAATAAATTTCTTGACAGTTATTGTTACAGATACTTTATCGGGAAATTAAACACAATAATTATAGAATATTTTAAAGTACAACATAAAGTTTAGCAAACATTAATCTGACACTCTAAACATTTTAACGTGACCATAGGTAAAGTACTTTACATGTAATTTTTATTTCCTTTTTCAGTGATATCGGAATATTTTATAGTAGACAGTAGTAAACAGCTAATTCCATGCATTCATACAAAATTACGACAATTTTTATCTTATTTTTTACTTAATAACCACTTTAATTGGTGAGACAAATTGTTCTTTTAGTCTGATTTTTCTGAAATAGTGGAATATAGGAACTTGCATAATCTCCTCTTGCATAAGATAGTTGAATGAGCAGTCAGTTTTGAAGGAAACAATTTAAAAATGATTAAGAAATCGAAAC